CACACTTACATGTGGGCTGCTCATGTGATAAGCAAACCCAATGCACACACATCTGCACATGAACAAACACCAAAGTGTGCAAGTGACTACTGTAGTATCTATATGGATTGAACCAATGTCTATTTCCTGGTACTGGGATGTCTGTACTGGATAGTTGTACTGGGATGTTGGTACTGGGATAGTCTGGGGGATGGATGCAAAAAACCTCCTTGTAATTTTCTTCACAACTTTATGGACATTTATAATTATTTGAAAATAAATAAATAGAACATATAATAGTTTTCTTTTTCCAAAGCTTGTAATTTCTCAGTGGGGAAAAAAATCAAAAAACAATGAAACAAGGAACTTTCTTTTTTTAATTTTTATTTATTTTTTATTGTGAAAATACTGTAAAGAATGGTTACAATTAGATGGGCAAGATAAGTACATTTCTTATCAAGCATTGTAGCCTCCTCCTTTGTGGCTCAGTGGTAGAGCACTTGCCTTGCATGCCTGAGGCCCTGGGTTCGATTCCTCAGCACCACATAAGCAAAAAGAAAAAAGAAACAAGAAACTTTGTAACTCCTTCATTCTAGTGGCAGAAATGTCTGAATACTTTACATGGAAGTAGACTGCTGAATGCCCATAAGTAAGAGATATCTGACACTCTGTATTTGTGCCCATAGAACTACAGTAGGCACAACACAGTAAAGCTTATATTTAAGTATTATATTATGTATTATATATTATATGTTCTTTGTGTACACGTTGATAATAAAAAGCATGACAGGAAGTAGGTATAGTCTAGATCCATAGTATAACTAAGCCTACATGGAAGAATCCAGCAGGGGAAATCTTCATTGGATGTGTGTGTCTGTGGATTTTTGCACGTTTTTGTACCACTAAATCTCTGTCATGTTTAGAAAATTTATATATTAGATATCTAATATCTAAACATGTTGATGAATTATTAAATAAATATCACTAAATGCATGTTGTTCAGAATTGTAAACTAAAATACCAAAAGAAACATTTTAAAAATAGAATTAAAAAAAAGATAGAATCCTGTGCCTGAACTGAGCTCCAAAAAGCCAATGAAAATAATTGTTCCCATCACAGCTTTTTTCTATATAAGATCCATAGCTAAAACAGCATAACCAAGAACAGATTAATTGTGCTATATTTATATAATAGACACTACATGGCAATGACATTCAACATCTGGAAGTCGGCTCTAACCTTGTTCCATCTCTTGAATGGTGAACACATGGAGACTCATCTGCAACTCATTTGTGAAGTGCAAGAGGTGTGGGGAATTTCTGTGTCTCAAGACAACCAAATAATCATAAAATCAAAAATGTTACCAAAGGAGTAATAAAAATTGATCATAGAAAGTTGCGTCTTCGTTTCTGTTAGGAATTCTATAGCTACTAAATGATGTCACTATTTCTACATATAAACAATTCAGAATTAAGAAATAATTAGCAAGGATAATAGTATAGGATTTTGCCTTTGTCATATGCTTAGAGACTCCACATGTGGATTGAGAAATCCCTTTTAGTGCTCAGTAAAATTGTTAGAGATTTGTCTGAACTAGCATATCATTATAAAATTTAGGAAAAATTTTCCATTAAGCAATGATGCAGTGTACATAGCAGAAGTTTGAAAATCAAAGATGAAAACATTCAACTCAAATGTGACTTTTCCACTTGAAATCTGGAAATTGGAGAAACAATGTATTTTGAGGAAAATTTCTTTTCAATTCATAATTGCATACTATCAAAATATCATCTTAATGAGAAGTGAACAACAGATTTTACAATTTCAAGTGATCTCTTAACTTCCTGTTTTTACAGTATTGATCCCTCTATGAAGAGCAGCTGTGTCTAATGAAACACAATATTCAGGAACGAGTGAGGCATGGTGCTTTTTTATTGTGAAAATACTACACAGAGGGGTGTTTTTGTAGTCACAATTAGATATAAACTAGTTATGTGATTGGGTTCTATGTGACCCCAGAAGCATTTTCCCATACTCCTGTCAGGATGAAATGCACAGCAAATCTTGCTGTGTAGACTTAAATAAAATTGAATGAGACGAAGTATGTATGTTTGGTACACACATCCAGAGAGAGACTTTCCCTGATGGATTCTTCCATGTAGTTAGTTATATCATGGACCTAGATTACACCTACTTCCTGTGATTCTTTTAATTATACAACTTGTAGACAAAGAATATACACATATAATTTAATACCTAAATATAAACTTTATGTTGTGCCTACTGTAGTTCTATGGTTATCTCTTATGATGAACCTTCTACTTCCTCCAAACAAGCAACCTGGCCCTGTGAATGGAACTAGACTTAGGATAACCCTAAAACCCCACACTAGTTCAGATCTATTTCAGAACAATGACACAAATGTAAGACAAAAATCAGCATCACATGACCTGGGTTATTACCCTGAGTTCAGAGACACAGAGAGGAAGAGAGTGAGGGCAGAGATGAAAAGTGCTGCCAGGAATCTAAGAACACCAGAAAGTCAAAAGAGAACTGATGGATCAAAAAGGACTCTATGTAAAGGACAGTGTCTTGGTTCAAGTTCCCATCCTCTATTTCAATTAGGCCCACAGAGTGTAACAACAATAATCAGAGTTTCATGCCAAACAGTCCCATGTTGATAATCCAGTAAGTATAAATTGCCACTTTGATATCTTCCTTTGTTCACCAGAAATTAGATCTCTGGCATAGCTCTCCTTCAGACATTCTGAGAGAAAGGACAATTCAAGAATCAACTTTGTTTCATCATTTTGTTGTTCCCCTTCCCTTCCCTAATTCAGATAAATGTATATATAGTACACAGGGCACCAAAATAAAATACAGTGACAACAGGGGATAAACCATAAGGGAAAACCAGAAAAAAAAAGAAAAAAGAGATAATGCAAGAGCAATACTCACAAAACAATATGTTGGAAATGAACCTTACATCTTGGTGGGGCATAATGAGGAAGGGAAAGTGGGAGGAAAATGGGAAAGAGAGTAACAATGTTCGACAAGAAATGTACTTACTAATTTACATATGTAACTGTATCCCCATTGTACATTATCTTGACAATAAAATAGAATTTAAAAATATCAACTGTCCTTGGAGGGACAGGAGAGAATGATATTATTTTACTCAAATCTGACTTGTTGAATGGTAATTTCTTATCTTATTACTTAAAGATAATAAAGATATAATTAAAACAGAATCATCTTTTTCAATCTTTATTACCCTCATGACCACAAAAGTTTTAAACTAAAAATTCAAAGCTTAAATTTTATAGGCTCTGTGGCTCTCTTCCTCAAATCTATCCTCTTGACCATCATTCCATGACAGGTCATCCATTCCCCAGATCCACAGGGGTCCAACCCTGCTGCTTTGAGGAAGGTGGATGGATTCTGAATATGTGAACAGACAGTCCACACAAGAGTTGTTTTGTGATTTGTGTGGAGCAATGTGAGATGAAGGGTGGAAGTGATCTGCTGACTATCGGTTGAAGATCAGGACTTACTATTGCTAAATCAAGCAGAAGAATTGAAGGAGCCTAACTTCAAAACTGAGCTCCCACACAATTAAATTTGTGCCTAAAAAGTCTGAATATTGTTTATTTACATTCATGTCTGGATGAACTAAAACACAAGACACATGAGTAGAAAAAACATTTACATAACATTGTCTTTTAAAATGAAACAGCTGGACACCACTAACTCAGGCTTGTAATCCTAGCTACTCAGGAGGCTTAAATCTGAGGATCACAGTTCAAAGCCAGCTGGGGCAGAAAAGTCCATGAGAATCTTATCTCCAATTAACCACAAGAAAACCAGAAGTGGCACTGTGGCTCAAGTGGTGAGCGCTAGCCATGACATGAAAATGTCAGGGACAGTGTCTAGTGTCCAGAGTTCAAGCCCCATGAAATATATATATATGTATATATGTACATATATATGTATATATATGTATGAAATACATATATATGTATTTATACATATATATATATACATACAACATGCATAAAGAATCATATAGTCTGCAGCATGATGGATAGAAGTAGAGAACACCTTGTTAACAAAAATAGTAAAGACAAAGAGCATTGTCTATACTCCTTCTCACTCAAGCAAAATTTTAAAAAATAAAATGCAATAGTGATACTATGGGGCTGACAAGGGCACAGGATCAGAGCGCAGGAGGTTGAACACAGAAGAAAGATGGAAGACTATGATCAATGCACATAATACACATATACTGAGAAACCCAGAATCCCATTAATGATTACAGATATGTACATTAATAAAAAAAATAGGCTATCAGAAAATAAGGGAATAAAATCTGAAGCAAAGAATCCATTCTTTGTATTAAAGGCAATTCCTGCTTAAATACCGTTATTTATTTTATTATTGCATAAATATCAACTGATACAATTCAGACTCTCCAAGTATTAACTGGCCTTTTCTGACAACATTCTGAGCAGGTGGAGGCAGCAGGAGGAGCAGCTGGGGCAGCCCAGACTCACACTTCAGCTTCCCTGGGAGGTTTTTGTTATGGCTTGTATCACTGTGGGAGGGAAACTGCTATGCTGTTGACAGTAATAAGTGGCAACATCTTCAGGCTCCAAGCCACTGATCCTGAGAGTGAACTCTGTCCCAGATTGACTCCCACTGAACCTTGATGGAACTCTGGACTCCAAAATATCTGCACCGTAGATCAAGGGTTTAGGAGCTTTCCCTGGTTGCTGCTGGTACCAGGCTAAATAATACTCAATGTCCTCACTGGCCCTGCAAGTGATGGTGGCAGTGTCTCCTAGAGACACAGACAGTGAAGATGGAGACTGGGTCATCTGGATATCACACTTGGCACCTGGAAGCAGAAACATGAAAACAAATATCCACACTAATTATCAAGTTATAAGAAGGCATCCCTGAAGAGTAAACATCCTGGATCACACTGAGCTGTGTTAATCCCTAGCATTGTCCTACTTTACCTGCAAGCCAGAGCAGCAGGATCCCCAGGAGCTGAGCAAGGGTCCTCATGTCCATGCTGTGTGCTGACGTGGTCTAACTACTGCCTAATGTGAGCAGCCTATGAAGAAGTCCTGAGCACACTGGGCTGTGCTGTTGGTGCATGCAAATCAGCAGCAGAGTTATACACAGCTGTCCAGCTGCCTCATCTCAGCAACTCTGCATTCTGAGTCTCAAGGGAACTAGGTCGGGCAACAGAGTAAGTTTTAAACACAGAAGAGAATCTCCAAGTTGCTTTCCTGTGATGTGCACACAACAATGGTAACTTTGAGGATCAAAGCTTTTTTTCCATCTTATTTCTTTAACTGAGTCAAGACTTGTTCACTGGAGTGTTAGTGCCAGAAATTTATAAACAAATTTTGCAGAACACAAATTTGGCATTTCTTTGTTATTATGCAGGACAGAAACTTTTACAGTAGCTCTGATTCACTGATAATCTGTATGTGTCAATTTATCAGCACTGTTGTCCTGTAATGAATAAGTGTAGCTGTTGTGTTGATAAGAAAATGCCTGGATTTCTGTACTGTGCTGTTCAGCCTTATTATCTCCTTCATCTCTGAGATTTTGTCCCAGGTGATCCGTACAAGCACGTCCTTTCAGAGCCTTTCTCCCTTCATATCTGAACAGCCTTTACAATTTTTACTGACCTAGAATTTTGTATCATTTTATATGTCCATTCTGAAGGTTTTCATATTATTCCTTCTGGCTTTTAATCATCTTCACCACAACTACTATGTTCAGAAGCAGAGATAAATTCTCCTTAAAAGGGAGGATAAACTCGGTCTGGGAAGGTAGCTGAGTGGTAGAGAGCTTGCCTTGCATGCCTGAGGCCCTGGGTTCCATTCCTCAGCACCACATAAGCAAAAAGAAAAAAGCCGGAAGTGGCACTGTGGCTCAAGTAGTAGAGCGCTAGCCTTGAGCTGAAGAGCTGAGGGACAGCGCCCAGGCCAAGAGTTTAGGCCCCATGACCGGACCCAAAAAAAAAAAAAAAAAGAAGGATAAACTTAGGTTATCTTGAAGCCTATTTTGTGGCCTAAACCTACATATGTCTCCTGTTCAGTGGACTCTTCTAGATCCTAAGAGAACACTGTGCTGCACACCTGGGTAAAAGGTATTGGGCCCATGCAAAGTGAGTATGTTGAAATCTCTGAACAGAATCTTGAAATCAATAGAACATGGAAATGTCATCCATATTAGGATAAGGCAACATGGGAGAACTGATTTTCTGTGCAAGGGAGAAACATCATTTTTTACTCCATTGTAGGTGCTGAGATGGAGTGATCCAAGAGGACATCCACATGTGTTCGATATTCCTGTACAGATGTCAGGGCTCAAGAAGTCACTATTGCATGGGATACAAAGTTGGCTCATCTTATCCATGTTATCACATTCTGAGGAATATCTGAACAAATCTGGGGTTGGGGGCAGGGTGTGTATGATCTGATCATATAAGTGGCAGTAACACCAAGAGTTTCATATCACCCAGAAGAGTTGTTGATCATATGACTAAATTAATGAGGGAAAATTAGAGCCAATGTTCTTGAGGTAAAAAAAGTAAGCTAATTAAATGAAAATTTCATCTAATGTTAGTGACATATTTCAAAGATTTTTATACTGAATATTTTCTGGAAAAAAGAAAATCAGAAAATTTTTCTAAGAATTCATTTAATAATAACCTAATTTTTTGATGTGAGTGAAGTAATTACCATAAATTTACATATGTATGATGTATACATATGTATATATGAATGTGTACATGTAAATATATATATACATATTGATGAATAGATGCACAAGTGGATAATTTTTTCTAATCTAGAAGTAATGATGCTTTCATTTTAATAACAGATAGCACCTTCATTAATTGACCTCATTTATTCTCTCATAAATAAAACCAGTGACCTTTGCACAACAGTTTATTTCTTTCTCAAAAATAGAAAAAGAGGAAGATGAGTTTGGATCATTTTTTGTCACAAACTACAAATTCATATTGGATGATGTACAGGAAAGAGTGGAGAGAAATCAGCTAACAAGAATGCCCACTCGCCGATTTGAGCGTTTTTGAATATTGAATAAATACCAAAGTATTCCATGAAATAAATTGTAATTCCTTGGATTAGTAGTGATATTTTCACTAGGGATGTGATATCCATAAACCACTATATATTTCTCCACAAATCCTCACAATTTCAAAGGAAAAAGAACAACTATATAGCAGAGAAATCCAATAGCCAACACCTTAATCTAGAATTGAAATAAAGATCATCAGTAATGATGTCCTTATAGAACATAGCAACACTTCTAGACTTTGCTCACATATATCCATTACTGAAAGAACTCTGAGGGGAAAAAGGCACAAATCTCATCTGAGAGACATTCATCCACATGATTAGTATGTGTTCACCACGAGCAATAAGAACACAAAATTTAAGACTGAACTAAAACCCTGTTCCTTGGTGGCTTGATTATTGGGATGTGGTCTGACTACTTTGTTCTGACTTAACTGGAACCATATTCCTACCATTCTCTAGAGGTTGAACTATAGGTGTGAACCATTATGGCCATCATGACCATTAAAGTATTCTTTTGTTTGGAATTTTTGTGTCTTGAGATCATTCATCTACAGCCATTTCTTCACAAGTTCATAAACATGGTATGTACAGTGACTAAGACTAAAGATTGAATTCACATGTCTGGTTAAGGGAACCTCAGTGATTTCAAACTAAGATCTTTTTGAAAATATAATGACATAGTGAGCTATATATGTTAAAAAACAAAACAGTAACACATACAATTTTTGACCACTGTTTTTATACTGCTACAGAATAAGAATATATTTAATTTCTTTTTAAATTATATATATATATATATATATTTTGTAAAAATACTGTACAGAGGGGTTACAGATACATGAGTAAGGTATTGAGTACATTTCTTATCCAGCATTGGTATCTCCTCCTTTGGTTTTCCCCTTCTGTCCCTTCCCTCTCAACTTCCCCAACTACTCCCTTCCCACAACTCCCCCAATGAAGTTGTAAAGTTTGGTTTCAATATAGCATCTTGTACATCTCATTGTTATAAAGGGCAATCTGTATCCTTATTTCAGCATTTTGCTATATTACCCTCCCCAAAATAGAAAAATGTATATACAAGATGCAGGGCACCAGAATCAAGTACAGTGAAAACCGGGGTTACACCATGGGGGAAGAACATACAAAAGAAACAAAACAATCACACAGTACATTATAAATACCTTAAAAAACCAGCAAGAAAGACAAAACCATTTGTGTCCCTATCTTGGGATGCATTTTGCTTAGCATCATTTTATGTGGTCATAGGTACATAGCTTTTGAGCTTTTCTGTTTGTCCTAGACATACACTAGTCTTTGTCAGCATATATTAACTGTACAAGAAGAGTTTCATTGTGACATTTCCACACCGGCATACAATGTACTCCATTAACCTCACACCCTTGATCTCTCATCCTAATCCCCATATTTCCCTTCTTAAAGCAGTTGCATGGGTTTTGCTGGCCTTTTTCATATATTCCAGAGAAGCACTTCAATAATCTTCACCTTCATATAACTTCCTCCATTCATAGTACTCGCTCCATAAAATGCCAACATAGCCTATTTCATTCTCTTGTCATTCATTTGTTTCATATATATATTAATTGTACCAAGGGCTTTCACCATGGTATCTCACTTGTGCATAAATCATATTTCCTTTCTGTTTCTTTTTGCTGGTTCTAGAGCTTGAACTCTGGGAATGACCAATGTCCCTAAGTATTTGTGTTCAATTCTATCTCTCTACCACTTACACCACAGCTCCAGTTTCACCTTTCTTGTGGTTAATTGGAGATAAGAGTGTCACAGACTTTCCTGGCATGCTGATTTTGACCCATTATCCTTATATCTCAGCATCCTGAGTAGTTAGGATTACAGTAGTGAGCCACAGGTGCCAGGTTATATATCATCTTTTAATCAGAACAACCCTCTCTATTAATCTTGCTTTTGGAGACATCAATTGTATTTTTTAAAGGATTGACCTCTTTCCATTGTGTTCTTTTCCTTTTTAATTTTATTTTAAAATAAAATCGTTCAACTAGGGATACAGGAGGACCAATTGCAACAATGAGATGTATAAGTCAATGAGATGTACAAGTCATTATGTCGAAAAACAAACTTTACAATGTTGGTGGGGGATGGGGGGAGAATCAGATGGGGGGAAGGGGGCTAGTATTGGAAGGGATGGGAAGGGGAAACAAAGGGGAGACAACAATGCTTGATAAGAAATGTACTCATTATCTTGCCCATGTAATTGTAACTCCTCTGTATGGTATTCTCACAATTAAAAAAAATAGAATGCTTTACAGTTTAAAATAAATAAATTAATTAAATTAAATTAAATTTGAATCATAATTACATTGTGGATTTTTTTACTAACATCGTAGGATATAAGATAAACTAGTCTTCCATTACTGAATAACAGTGATTAGAACTCCATGATCATTTGGGAATATTTCTTTGATAGTTGTCAGAGATTTCAGTTTACAAAGAAGTGAACAGAAGAATACAGAAACAAAGGGAAATTCCAGAGAAGAATCACAAACAAAAGTTAATACAGAAGCTTATTTGTATACTAAGATATGATTTTTATCTACTTGTCTCTTCTACCCTTTTTGTACTACTTCTGTATTAGGAGACGGTTTGGGCTTGTTGCTACCTAATCCTAAGAATATGTATACTCTTAGCCATGTGCAGTCTTCTTTCTCATATACCATTACCATGTCATTTTTTTCTCCATGAATCTAAGACTGACAAGGCCAAATCTTGGACAAATATTGAGATGATCACAGCCAAGGGCATGGCTTCTCAGACAGGCTATTCAGCTTTCCTGCATATGTTCACTGCAATGGGTTTAGATTCAGCATCTTACAAAGCAAATTGTCTACAAACATTCATAGCTATTTGGAGTGAGAACTTCCATGTGTAATTGATGTATTGTAACAAATTGTTGCAAAAGATGAATTAATAAAGCAAACAGAA